CAATCGGCACCTTCCCAAACTAGCGAGGTACTACCAAGCCCCTCACAGGCATGCTACAAATAATGCATCCTAAGTAACCCACTCTAAAGGAGACTACCTTCAACTATCATTCTAACATCCAAGGTATGCAGATGGCATATAAATATATCACCAGTAAGCCGAAAAATTCTGAAGTATCATTATCAATACAGATGTCGAGCGATAACAATAAGACCATATCATAAGCTGATAGAGAAATGAAAGAAGATATGTACCAGAAAAATGGGGCTGCTCACACATCATCTGAAACCAACTGATACGCCCTGCTCCTTACTGCAGGCGTCTTTGCTCGGCCCTGACGGCCGTCGGTGATCCTCATGGTTGCAGGGGCAGGTGCCATCACCTATCCTGCTAAATGCAAACTCGGATATTGGGCCTTCTTGTGGCCCTTCTGACTGCAATGGAAACATAGCAGGTCTGATCCCTAGGTGGTGGTAGCAGTACAATCTCTACTGAAATGACCAATTCGGCTGCACTTGAAGCAACCAGAATCACCATCGCTGCCACTCCTACACGCACCCTCGTGCATCCTACGACACTTGCCACATCATCCTTGATCCTGAGGACCTTTCAATCTATAGTCTGATGCCTTGGGCCTCTTACCCGATCCCGTAGATACCTGAATCTCCTCCGACTTCCTCTTCCCGAGGTGTTGCAGATCGATCTCCATTTCCCTAACCCGAGCAATCATATCCTCCAGCATCTTGCAAGCTGGACTGACTCACCAACTATCTGATGTCGTCTCTCAACCTATCGTGATATCGAGCCTTCTTCATATCCTCATCCACGACATACTGCAGAACAATAAGAGCCCTCTCCCTGAACTTCGCGGTGATCTCCGCCACCGTCTCGGTCATATGTTGTAGATCCTGGAACTCCTGGGCTAACTGTTGCACCTCAACAATCGGTGCAATCTCGGCCTTGAACCTGGATGAGAAATCACTCCATGTCATTGCGTCCAACCTGGCATCATCCCCGATAGCATGACCAACCTCCTCCCACCAATCCTGTGCCCTGTACTTCAGAAGATAGGAGGCGAGTCGAACCTTGTCCCCCTCGGGTACCGGCTAGAATGAAATGCATTGGCGACTTTAGCCAACCATCTGCCACTAGCAATGGGGTCCCTAGCCCCATGATAACGTGGAGCTCCACAAGCCCTGAACTCCCGGAAAGTCAAAGTACGCGCTCCCAACATAGTCATCAGCTCTATGCGAAAGGCTCCAAGCCTCTCATCCAAAATCTCCAGGATGCCCTCCTTGACCATGCGAAAGATCACAGGAGTCTGGTCAAGAATACCACGTGTAATCTCAGCTGATACAAACTCTCTCATATGCTCCTTGAGCTACTCGATCCCAGAACCTGAGCCTCACCCCTCTCTGACACCTAATCCATCCACTGGTCCATCTTGCGATATTGCCATACTGAAAACATGTCATAACAATCATCAAAATACATATCATAACTAAGGACCTCACACGCACTGTAAGTTCCCTAGTTTTATCTCGGCCCCTCTTGAATCGATTACGGATCCTATGCTTTCAGTAGTACGGGCCCATACTACCTTCCACATCTATTCGTACTTTCCTCAAGAGTTTCCTTGACTCCACCAGTTCCCTTGCACGGCTACCACTGCTCCCATCACTAAACTCATCTTAGGCCTATCCTAGGGAAACCTTCGACCCAACCAGTCCTCAACTGCTGAAGGTTTCCTCGTAAGGCCAATCAGCCATTACCTGAATTCCAATACATGTGACGAGGCTCAGATAATCCTTCAAGTAAAGGAATCGTCCGTACAATGGTTAGACTCAAACGAGTGCTGCGCAGTAGGGTCAAATCCAGAACTTTGAGATTATTCAACCCTTATCACATGTGACTTAATGTATTCATCTAATAGATAACTCCTATCACTTAGAATCCCACATAGCACAAAGCAAGCAACATTCAGACCAAAGGGGAATCTAACCAGAACATAATTAAGTAGTTCTATCCAAATACAAGAATTTGTACTAGCATGCAATATAAGCTCACATAATCAGGCATAACCTAAACAGGCTATCCTACCACTCTCTAACCAATGCTAAGATATAGCTCAATAAGCACATATAACTGGCACATAAGGCATCCTCCTAGATCCTTAGCCCTAAATCTAGCATGTTGATCACATAATCATATCATAACATAAACTTGTATGGGTTATTTGGGAGAACATACTTGAGCTCGGCTAATTGCATGCACCACACCCTTTTCTCTTTTCAAAGTTCCTTTTGATTTTTCTAAAACCCTTTTCTTTCCTCAAAATCCTTTTATAAATATGGTTTTCTTTTCTTTCCTCAAAATCCTTTTATAAATATGGTTTTTCTTTTCGAAAAATTTTATACCACTTCCTCAGTTTGAGTTCGGACACACCTGAGAGTGTGTCACTACTAGAAAAACAGCCTTTTACAACGCTCATTGCGTTTCGTAAAAGGCTCAGACGACACGCAAATGCGCGTCAAGGAAGGCCCTGTCATAAAGAGAGACGACGCGCATTTACGACGCTCAATTACGACGCGTGTTTACAACACGCAATGCGTATCAAGGAAGGCCCTGTCATAAAGGAAGACGACTCGCATTCGTGTGTCGTAACCTTACGACGCGCGTGTTAATGACACGCAATGCGTATCAAGAAAGCCCCTGTCGAGAAAGGCCATGTCATAAATGAAGATGACACACATTTTTGCGTATTGTAAATTTAAATGTTTAAAAAAATTATATATTTATTAATTTTTAAATTAAATTTGCATTTAATTTCTCATAATAGAAATAAATTACTTTTTTTGATAGATTTACTAATTTTCAAATTAAATAACACATTAAAAGTCTCCTAATACAAAATAAAATACCATAAACAATAAATATAATTCATTGCACTAAGGACCATGTTAACAAAAAAATATAACATTATATATCATAAGTACCCTCAAGTAATCAATCTCTTACAATGTTACTAAAAATACCCTCAAGTAATCAATGTCTTACAAAGTTAAGAGACTAAGTTGGTATGTAATATGGCACTAAGAAGCCCAAGAATTGTTTGTGTTTTTCCTGTTCTTGGTGGATCCTACATGGACAAAAGGTAAGAATTAACATTTTCAAAGTACAATGCCTCAATAAGGAAATCAATGGTAAAAGGCAAATCTGAATAAGAACAAACTTTATACATATATACATGGAAGTATTGTAATACACAATAACAGCAACAAATACCAAATTACCCTTTGCTTACCTTTTCTTATGGCCACCTCCAAAAGTGAGAATTTGATAAAAGATTTAGGTCACACATTCTCTCATCAAGCTCTGTATCCAAAAGTGAGAATTTGATAAAAGATTTAAAAAGTGGGAAAATATCAAGAATATAGAGGATAATACATTAAGAAAAAAAATTATTCACAAAGAGCAAGTTTCAACCTTCTTCCCCAACAATGTTTCAAAGCAAAAAGCTCATATATATCGATCTCTGCTAAAAGGATATCTATTGCTTGATGATCTTTATGCAAATTGAAGTACAAAATATATTAGGCATATGATAATAAGGAGAGAATTATATTTTTGTTTTCGTTTTTTATTTTTAATGCTCCTTTCATTACTGTAATCCAACACATAACAGGATAAGTAAATAAATAAAAACTAACAGAGATTAATGTTCTCTAAAATGTAGAACATGATATTTGATAAAAGAGAGAGTTAATTCAAAATTGATGGATGTTTACCTTTAAAAAAGGAAAAAAGACCATGAAATATGTATATTCCTGATAGCAGAGAAGGCAGTCACATTAAAAATCTTCATTTATCATGACAGATAGCCATCCCCCAATCCTTCTACCCACTTATATACTCTATTGCAACAAACAAAATATATAAAGAATTACCCAAAATGCCCCTCCCATTAATAAGCCCTTTATTCGTAGGATTTTCCCATAATACCCTTATCTAAAATATGTAGCAAGCTTTTTTGGTTAACTCATCAAGTCATTATGTCCAAATTAAGTCAAAAGGAAACAACTATATGTAGCTTTCTGGATTAACTACTTAACCCATTAAGCCTATTAAGATAAAAAAAGAAACAAAGTAAAACTAATAAAATATCATATTATTTTCCATTCAGATTCTATATATATATATATATATATATATATATATATATATATATATATATATATATATATATATATATATATCATTTCACTTTCAAGACTTCAAGTTTTTAAAAAAATAAAAAATGCCAGTTTACAAAACTAAGCAATTTTAAGTTTAATAAAATATGGGAATACAAATCATCAAACTCACATCTGGACTTGTATGGAAATGATTCTTCTCCATTATGTATTCCATGTATCCCATCAAAAACCACACTAGTAGAACTTGTATAGATAAGCCTCTTCACATTAAGTTTAGTACAAGCATCAATTATGTTCTTAGTACATGTAAATCCAAAAACAAAAGTTAATACTGTCTTAGAAACTAACTAACTATGTTTATTATCTTTCTTTTTACCTGTAATTATTATTATTAAATAATAATTAAAACTTAGGATGTGAACAATAATATATATATATATCCACGGGTCCTACACAATATCAAATAAGGAAACTTACTAGCCCAATTACAGCAGAGACTACAATGGCTGATAGAGCACACTGTAAAAAAAAAAGTCAACAAGAGGTGAAGTGAAGTCAAGATAGAAAATAAAAAGTTTTAATAACTGTATTATATGTACCTGAGGTATAAATTCAAACAATGGTGTTATGAATAATAAAGCTAGAGCAAGAAGGAAGTCAAGAATATATATTAGGATAGAAATAAAAAATAAAATTTAATGAAATATTAATCAGTACAGGTGTAGCAGCTGAACCAGGGTTATAACTAGCAGGGGCTCCTGAGCATATGGTCCATAGCTTCCCGCCATTCCAATATGTCCCGAGTTATTGCTTCCTAGCTTTATACTGTTGAAGTGGGTATTTAGAATTAGAGGCGGAAACCACTGGTAGTGCTAGATACATGCCACCACCTTGCTGTGGTTGTTGTGGGAATGTCCCATTGCTTAAAAACTGATGGTAGCAGTCAGTGAAGGGACATAAAATGGGGAAAAAGATTATTAGAACCTGAGAAACAAAAAACACGAAACAAAGTAAAATTTCAGAATAATTTTAGCTTCTTATACTTCCTTCAACGTGAATTATTGTTCATATGACTACAAACCCACATATGATAATACTAGTAGTCATCATATAGATATTAGATTATAAAAATATAGGAACAAATAATAATAAAATTACAAGTGCATTGTGTTGTTCAGTTTTAAAAAGGAGACTGGTATTGGTCCAGATATGTGGTTCTGGTCGATTTGTATGCGGTTCAAATTGGGGAGATTCCCAATGTCTTCTGGCATGGAGCCTGTTAGATTGTTTCCATTTAAAAGCCTACATGCACATAATTACATATTACCTTGAATGGTTCAATATCTACTCATTAATTAATTAAATAGGAAAAAGGAAATAAAGCTACAAGAATTTCAAGGATGTAAGTTGGTCTATCTCTTTTGGTATACTCCCACCTATGTTGTTCCACATGATATCCCTTTAAGATCAAGAGAAAATATGCTATATGCATAACAAAATATTATCAACAAAAAGGAAACAAAGTAATGTAGGTGAAATTAGGAACTTGGCTCACAATATTTGCATATAAGATAATCGCCTTATTTCAGGAGATAAAGTTCCAGAAAGATTGAGATTCAGTAGTTGCCTACAAAAATCACACACAGACTTAGATGTTCGGGTTATATATTGTCACTTTAAAACTTATAGTTACAATCATATTAATTGGAGAATTAATATCTTACAGTTCTCAAATATGAAGATAACCAATGTCTAGGGTTTTGCTGAAGCACAGGACTCCAGTCCAATTTGAAACACATGGATCTCCACGCCTCCGGTTCCTAAGCCTACTGTTTCGATCGATAAAGCTTTGCCTAATAGCCCTCATTGTTGTCACTGCAAATTAAATCTCAAGTTTATCATGTGTATTGAGATATCAATCCCTCTTCTTTCTAAAATATTTGACAAAATAGAGGCCTTTGTAATGAATAAAAACTCCTCCAAATACATGAAAACAAAGTAGTTTACCTTTATCAGGATGCGCAGACTGACTATCTGTGTTTAATAAACATCGAGCATACACCGACATGAATCATGTGTTCAACGCTCTCAGGATCACGACGTAGCAATCCGATTGCAGCCGCAACATTCTCCTGACCTTCTGGTTTCCCTTCTTTCACTAATTTCAGCAACAGATTGTCTCCATCTTCTTCAATTATCAACTTCCCATACCAATCGTTGTCTCTCGCAAGCGAGACAAATGCTGCCACCGTGTCGGACCTGTCATCTAGGCTTCCAGTGTACAAATTAAATCGTGATTTGCTCCCAGATTAAACACAAAATAGGTTCATTAGCAGCGATCAGAAAGAGATGAGCCAAGGTCAGAGGTGAGTTGAGGTAGATTCGGTACTGGTGGAGGCAGATTAGGGTTTACAGAGAAAAGGAAAAGGAGAGAGTGAAGGTTGTTGGCTGGTGGCGTGCTTGCCTTGATCGACGTCGACGACCTGGCCGGAATGGCAAGTAACAATGTCGATGTCCAATGTAGATTGGAAGACATCTGAACAGATACAAATGCCAACCAAAACCAAAAGATCAAAAGTTGCGATTACACACCCACATCTAATTTTTAACCGGAGCCAATCGAAGAGTCGTTTACAGAGAAAAGGAAAAGTAGAGTGTGAAGATTGTCGACTGCTTGGAAGGGGCGTCGATAATTAGGGCAAGAGGGAAAGGAAGAAAAAGGGAGGCAGGCTTTTTAATTTTTTTGGATTTCATTTCCCTCCCCCTCCCCCCCGGCTATTAAATGATGGAATGCGCGTTTCCATTAAAATTTATAAAGCGACGTCTTCAGACGACACACATTTTATTATAGGCGCCCTCCGTGTTTTTTTTAGACACTAATTTAAGGGCACGCAAAAATACACGTCTTAAATCCTTAAAATTTATAGAGAGATGACATTATTTTTAGGCCGCACACTTTTGCGTATCGTAAATCGATGCGTATCATAAATTGCGCGTCGTAAAAGGCTGTTTTTCTAGTAGTGTGTCTGAATCCCTCAAACCAACGCTCTGATACCAACTTGTAACATCCCAAATTTTGAGTCCAAAAATTTATTTTAAAAACAATACTAATTAAGAACGTTAAGTCATTCCAACATACAAAAAGGGTTGATATGACAAATCATAGTTTCATTTCCAAAACACTAGTTTAATTATTAGAGTAAACATCCCAGGTTAACTTGTCATGGTGTGTGCACTGCAACCTACCGCATACCATACATATCTACTGATTACCTGAAACAAAATATGAAAACCGTAAGCACAAAGCTTAGTGAGTTCCCCAACCTACCGCATACCATACATATCTACTGATCCAAACATGCCCTACATAATACTGAGCACATAACCACATACTGGGCTCCCGCCCGCTGCATTATGCCTCTCCCGCTATCGGACCTCGTCTGCCACCAGGCCTCGCCTGGCTTCGAGCCCCGCTCGGCGTACAAATATATTTTCCATAGGACCCACCTGTCTCCGAGCTCCGCCCGCTATATATGCGGGCATACAATCATATCACAACACATAACTAACATACTCTACTGGATTACTCTACTAAGGCCTCGCCTATCTTGGGCCTCGCCCCTGTCCTGCTACTGTTGAATCATGGAACGCTATCCGCGCTCCTACTGACAGTGAGATACACGCCCAACCCACACTCACTCTTTTCCTTACTTGGGCCTCAACCTTTCTCTACTGCTAATGAGGTACGCAACACCGTCCACACTCTGCCATTGGTGAGATATGGGACCTCTCCCATACTCACCTCCTTACCAGGCACATACATGTATCACATAGACAACAAGTATAACTATCGTACAAACCATTCCTTGGGCACCCGCACGCTAACATTGGACCTTAGTCTCGAAAGTCATACTAGCATACTGTGCCTAGGGATAACCCACGGGTCATCCTACTCATAACTCCATGGGTTGGCATTGTAGTCGTAGACCCATTCACAGACGGAGAAACTCACCTGCACTGCTGAACTTTGCTAATAACCCTCTGGCTGCTGTCCGGCAACTATCTGAACCGCTGCTCCACTAGCTCCCCAAGCTACTAATATCAATATAACACTTAGCTCCAAAGTGGACTCTAGAAGTCAAACTAAGTAACCTCTAGTTAAAGTTAAAGTCCTGGTCAAAGTCAACCTTCCAGTTGGCTCGACTCGCTGAGTCAACGCATAGACTCGTCGAGTTCTTAAACTTAGAAACTCTCAAAATACGACTCAACTCGCCGAGTCACCCCCCGACTCGCCGAGTTCAACGATCTCTGAGACCCATCCAGTCAAACTCACTGAGTCACCACTCAACTCACTGAACTGCGTCTTAACCAGAAAAGGTTGAGGTTCTACGACAAGACTCGCCAAGTCCAAGAACAGACTCGACGAGTCCAAGGCATTCTTTAACAGACTTGCTGACTTGTTCTTCCAACTCGATAAGTTCCTACCCAACTTCACACAACTCACCGAGTCCACCCATGTGACTCGCTGAGTCTCTTCAGTTCTTAATCCATACAGTGGCCTTTCAAGCCATGCAGGGACTCCAAACTATAGATTTACTCTTATAAGGCCCACCCTTCATGTAACGTTGCAAACTTTACGTGAAACCAAGGAGCTATAGGCTTAATACACTCTAGGGCTAGGGTTTAAGACAAACATGCTTCACAAACACACCAAGGGTTGATACTTTACGGATATTTAGACCAAGACAAGCCTAGATCTGAAGTAGCAACCTCATATCTGGACTTCTAACTCGTAATGGCTCCTTAACATGCCAAAATGGCCCCAAAACATCATCCAAGAAAAGATATAGAAGCAAAAAGTGCAAAGTGACAGATTGTTACCATCAAACTGATGCTCACAACCAAAGAGTTGAATCCTCCAGTTCCTTAGTGGTCAAATCCTCCAAATCTTCGTCTTGCAAAAGCCCCAAGCTCACTTTCCTCCTCCTCTTACTCAAGTTACGGTTTGGAATTACTTAAAGAAGGTTCAGGCCGACAGGGGGGCTGAGGAGATGACATAAGGTCCTTTAAATAGGGTGAAAACCCTAATATTAGGAATTTTCTTGTCCAAACCAGACTCGCCGAGTCCATTCGCTGACTTGCCGAGTCGGTCACTTATTTTATAACCCGGATCCCGCTCCAACTCGTTGAGCTCTTCCTTGGACTTGACGAGTTGACTCCTTGACTTGGAGCTTTTCCTTTCTTTTCTTGATCTTTCTGATTCTGAGTGTTACACATAATATATGAATTACCTAGCTTATCATCTAGTATGCAGCGCTAATATCTCAATAATAACTCATAACACAAATAAGTAAGGCTATTTTAGGAAATCACCATTCGGGGTCTGGCTGATTGCACACACTTCTCCTTCTCGTTTTCTCTTAGAAGCTCTTGCATTTTTTAGAAAAAATCGTTTCTTTTGAATTATTTTTCTCAAATCCCCAGTTTCAGTCCAGACATACCCAGAGGTGCATCCGGATCCCTCAAACCAAGGCTTTAATACTAACTTGTAACAATGTAAATTTTCAAACCAAATTTTTTAATTTAAAAACACATTTATTAGAGTAATAAAATCTCAAAATGTCACAATGTCAAATCATCAAATCTCATAATCAAAAACTATATATATCAAAACTCGAGGATCCTCTCAATCATACTCCATCTCTAACTTGTGCACAATCAAGCCGGTGCCTTCCTGTGATCCTGAGAAGTACCTAAAAGATATAACACATAACACGGTAAGCACGAAGCTTAGTGAGTTCCCCAAAATACCACATACAACTATTTAGCCACTCGAGGATAAAACTCTGTAAGACCCTTCGTTCAATGTGTCCTAGTGGGACCCTCCAGTCCTATAACTTTGATGGGCCCTTTGGTCCATAATCTATGGACCCTCCGGTCCTAACTGTATAGACCATTTGACCCTAACTCTGTAACTCATAATAATACATGGCATAAATCACACAATGTAGGATATCACAGTACTCAAATAAACACATAAGACCCTTCGATCACACACAAATCAATAGAAATCAAACTCACATCAACAATCCATCTTTGACCAGACTCGCTGAGTGCACCTATGTGATTCTCCGAGTCAACTCATTTCCTTAGATGTCTCGTGAAAGTCTAGCTCAGCTCGTCAAGTTGATACCCAACTTGTCGTGTTATCACATGATCAAGCTCATAGGGACAAACCCTCACCGACTCATTAAGTTGGCTCATTGACTCGACCAATGCCTTCAAACTCATTCCCTATTCAGATGATTCTAAGTAGATCTACCACTCTAAAAACTATATCTAGCATCTCAAGACTCAGTTGTAATGTATTGCTTCACTATTTACATTCATGCATTGTAATTTTTCTCCAACATACCAGAACATGCTCTCACAAGGTGTTAACCACAATAACCATCATGTGGATGCATAAATTTGGGACCTTTAGACTTTAGGGACCTTAGAAGGTCCAGATCTGAGGTTTAAACCCCAAGATAACTCAATATGCTCGAAGTCCCATAAATAGGTGGAAGAAACCCTAATCTTCCATAGAATTAGATCTTGGAAAATAAATGAGAAAGGTGCAAGCTTTTACCTCCCACTGCAGCCCTTTCATGAAGATACACCAAATCCAACCGATTCTCTTGCTTCCTTGGAGGATAATCTAATTATCTCCTCAAGAGATGCACTATATTACTCCAAGTTTAGCTTCTAAGACTCTCATAGCTCACTACACACATTTAGGTTTTTACACAGGAAGGCTACGCAGCTAGGGATGCAGAAATGAGTCATATGTTCTCTTATATAGACCCAACCCTGGGAAATTAGGGTTTCTCTGCCCAACACCAACTCAGCGAGTTAGCTCTCTGACTCGTCGAGTCCAATCATTTATCGCACACGGTAAACTCGACTCTACTCGATGAGTTGGAATCTCAACTCGCTGGGTCACTCAATAAACTTCAACATTCAATCACATGAACAACATTCCTGGGAGTCCGGATGTTACATGATTGCATAGTTGGTTTCATCTTACACATCGATATGAATTAATTAATATAAATTACATGTTATGTTTTCGTATTATCTGTGTTCTTGATATATATGTTGGATTAATAAAATATACATGTTTTATTCGATTTAAACTGTATACGTATTTTATACCTATAATTATGATGGGTAGATAGAAGACGAGATGAAAGATGAAAGATGAGATGAATGATGAGATACGAAACATGATATAGATGATGAGACACGATGACCCAGTCATGTAGTAGAGTGCAAATGACAACCATGAACTATTCTAGAAAGTCCAGTGGAGCACTAGCATGCTCGTAACCTGTAGGTTTTCGGAATGATGTGTTCACCAGATATACTCTAAAATCCATTTACATGTATTGTGGGTGGACTCCCTAAAATAATACTGCTAATAAATGATTTAAACCCTGGAAGCTATGGACTTAGTGCCTCACAAATAAACATTGGTAACGGTGGACTTCATAC